TTCAATTTTTTCTCTGTTTACTTGTCTGTCAGTTCATCAAACTGTGGTGAAAGTGTAGCTCCAAAAAAAAAAAAAGTCGAGTCTGACTCATAGTTACTACCACTGGTTTTCCAAGGTTGTAAAAATCTTTACAGAAGTGTAGACTGTCCCATCTTTCTTCTAGAGGTTGGTGGGTTTGAACCACTAACCTTTAGATTAGTCACCAGTTGCCTTAACCACTATACCACTAGAGCTCCTTAAGGAAATATATGTAGGAGGAGGGAAAAGGCAGGAGCAGGGGGAATAGTTTCTCCCACAATTCCCCCAGCAAATTTGCCCAAAGTAGCACCTTTTCCACATTGTTTTACAATGTAATATACTGACCTAACAGTTGGTAAGATAGCAATAAAAACATAGTGGTGGGGAGCAGTGGTGGTTCAGTGTCAGAATGTTCACCTCCCATGCAGGAGACCTGGGTTCAGGCTCCTGAACCTCAAGTACAGCTACCACCCACCTGGCAGTGGAGGCTTGCATGTTGCTACGATGCTGAACAAATTTCAGTGGAGCTTTCAGACTAAGGCAGGTTAGGAAGAAAGACCTGATGATTTGCTTCTGAAAATCAGACAATGAAAACCCTACGGATCCCAACAGTCCCATCTGATTGGGTCATGAGCGAGGGGCCAACTCAACAGAAGCCAATGACAATAAGGTCAATGAATATAGAAATGAAATTAAGAAAACATGTTAGTGGACATGACACGAAAGAAAGGCTGTGTAGAACACCTAAGAAAGGTGGTCAAAGAGGGAAGCCTTTTTTACTTCTTGGTTTCTCACCAACCAGCAGGAAAGAGCTCCCTCCCCCGTGATGCAGTCAGCTACACTTCTGGTCCAAATGTTTCATTTCTGCTGCCTCCAGTGTTTTCTTGAGGACAAGCTAATCTCTCCTGATTTGGATGTTAAAATGCCTTTTTGTAAACTAAGACTTATGGTTTTCAATTTTTAAATTTTTTTCTGGATGCTTGTTTTTTGAGTTTTATTATGATTGTCATTTTTCTCTGATTCATATGTATCTTAAAGACTTTTTGGAAAGCAAAGGAATGTAGTCCTGTAACTTGTTCCTTCACAGTACCTGAGTCTCAAAACTAAAGATTTTCCTGCAGGTTGTCCTTGATCTATAATCTTTACTCACCAGGAAGGTTTATTCAACAAACTAGGATTCACTGAACCAAGGTATCTATCAACCAGATCACATTTTCAAATTGCTGACAAGGATATCAGAAAATGTTGTCAACCCCAGGGCCTCTGTTGGCCACATGCCCACGAACACTAGTCCTATTACCAGATCAGAAAAGAAGCATGATTTCCCATGTGTTTGTATGTATTCCTTTTGTCCCGATGAGACTCAAAGCTACATGAGGGTGTGGATTATGTCCTTTTCATCCTTGAATTCCCCCACAGCCCTTAGAAGGGTCCCGCTTACCTCTCCAGCTCCATTTCTCACTTACATCTTTTGCATGCTGGGTTTTGGCTTTTGTAGTCCCTAAAGTTTATTGTGCATTATTTATTATATTTATTGTTATGTATTACATCAGATGTCCTCACACTTATCTTCCACTGGGCTAGAATATCTTTTTTCCCCTTTCCCTGGCTCACTGCTGATTATAAGTCAAAGTTCTGTTTACCTGTTCCCTCCAAAGCATCTTCCATGACCCCTCCCACCTCATCTTCACTTATAGCCTTTGTCAAACCATATTATAATTATATCTTTACATACTCTACAAAGAGTTTCTTGAGGGCAGACAATGTCTTTTCTGGCACCCCATTGCTAGCACAGTGCCTGACACTTAATAGGTACTTAAAGATCAACAGTTCCTCCCACCTACTTCAAAGCCTGAAGAACAAACTTTGCAAACTGTAAAGTGCTGTCAGATGGTTATTATCCTGGCTTCATGCCTCTGAGCTTATATTTGGCCTTCTTTAGGGCCTCAGCCTTCCTCTTCCAGGTGCTATGGGTTATTCTGAGACCTCCGCCCTTCTCTGTTCAGAGAACTGGGTAACAGAAGAGGGAACTTTGTTAACTTCCCAAGAGAGCCCCAGGCCAGCTGCACAGGGTCCATTCATTCCTTTATTCACCTTCTGTGTGTCACACTCCGAAACACGTGAGGAACCTGTTGCTCCTGTGTATGCAGGATGGACTCCAGCTGGCCTTTTTTACCCAGTCTCTGACACTGTAATGATAAAATTCTCCAGCATCTCAGAGTTCCCAGAGCCTAAGCCTAAGCTTCAAAAATTAGGACTTCCTAGGACAGAAGTCAGAGGAAATGGGGCTGCAGGCTTAGTCCGAGACTACAGGCCTTTTTGGAGGTGGGACTGTTTCTCTGACACAAGCTCAGGACTTAAGGGAGGTGCAGAGAACCGGCCTCAAGCCAGGGACTGCCTTTCAGATGGACAAGGGCTCAGAACTCTGCATAGCAGAGTGGATCAAGTTGCCAGTGTTAGAAGCCCTTTTGGAACTGGTTTTCCAACCTCACTCCCACTTTCCCAAGCCCGAAAGGGTTCCATCTCCTGCACAAAATCCAACGCAGGGAGCACCTGCTTGACCCCTGAGCCTGCTACCTTTCTAGTCCAGGAGACCCTGACCCTTGGCTTCCTCCAAGCCCCATGCTACTTTCAAAATCCTCCTGCTGGGTTACACTAAAGCCCAGGCCACGTTTTCCTGCTTCCCCAAGAGCAAGATATCCTTAGTCTCAAGATCCTTCAATACTCCTCACTGCCCCTTTCACAGAATTAATGCCCCTTTTCTTGGAAAACACTTTGGAGATCAGCATCCCTCTCCTCACTGACAGAAGGGAATGAAAGGTCTAGACAAGTATCAGGAGATGCCTCCTGTCACTTGGCCTCTCCCTGCCAGAATCCTGTTCTGGATTACTAGCTGCTCCCATCTCTGTGGAAGCCAAAGCATATGCTATAGCCATGTCTCCATAAGAGCTAGGGTTAGGGCTGCTGTAACACAAATACCGTAAGTGAATGGCCTTAAAGAACCTCACAGTTCAGGAGGTTAGAAGTCTGAATCTAGGGCACCAGCTCTTGGGGAAGACTCTCTCTCTCTCTCTCTCTGTTGTGTCTTGACGAAGATCCTTGTCTCACCTTCTATAACCGGTGTTGCTTAGTTGCTTAGTTCCTTGGTGACTCTCACATGTACTTCTGTTTTTGCAGTTTGTGGTTGCTTCTCTGTATCTAATCTGTTCTTTTTGTATCTCAAAAGTGATATCCCTCCCTTAGACATTTTTTAGGCCTGGAATTGAACTCACTCCCATGGCTCAACTTTCACCCAAATGATAGACGTGTAATATGAACAATAACACCAGGGAGATGTGTACTTCTTAGAACAGCCATATGAATCCTCCATATGAGAGGAAAAGGGTATAATTTGCCCAGGGATAAAGCTAAGAAGACAGGAAGGGATACAAAAGAAGGACAGACGGAAATGGGAATCACAGGGAGAAAATGAGAAGAGTGCTGTTACATTGTGGAGATTCCAGTCAATGTCACAAACAAATTGTGTATGGATTGTTGAATGGAAACCCCATTTGCTCTGTAAACTTTCACCCATATCACAATAAAAAGTTAGAGAAAAAAAATGAGATACCTTACAGTGAGTGACATGGCCTCACCAACACAACAAAGAAAACCCTACTCCCAAATGGGATTACATCCACAAGTATAAGGATTAGGATTCCAACACATTTTGGGGGACACAATTCAGTCCGTAACCAATCATCTGCACCTACGCCTGCTTCTCCTTCCAGAGTGTGAGTTCCTGGTAGAAAGGGACCAGGTCTCATTGAACAATGTATCCCAGGCTAGAAGGCAAGTGATGAGCAGAACCCAGACGATCTCCTGAGAATTCTCCCCACTGTATCCCATACCATCTCCTCGATTCGCTCACTACTTAGACATGTCCTGTCACTTTGGTGACTTCCAATCCTCTCTTCAATACCTCCTTCCCTCTCTTCCCAAGTGGAATCTAAGGAGACCAAGGATGCCTGAAGAGCTACATTAAGGAATGTCCACAGATCTGATTTGGGGAATGACTGAGACTTGGGCAGTGGCAAATCAGGCTGGGCAAGGAATCAGGTGGTTCATCAGGCCAGGGAAAGAGCAAGAACCTACACTTAAGGACCCTTGGTTGGAGTAGGTGGGGGAGACATTAATAGAGGACAACATTCCAGAGAGAAGTTCTTATCTATAGGGAAAGGATACATAGGACAGTATATAACCAAAGGTTGTAGAGGATCAAGGATCCAAAAACTTGGCTCTTGATCCAGCAGAGTTGTCATACGTATGGGGTGGGCACCAGAGGTCCAGAGTAGCTGGCATCAGGGAGATGACTGAGATATCACCAGGCTCAATTCAGGGCCAGAAAAGTACTGCCCTAGGGTCCTCCACAGCTCCTTGTGTAGGACAGCCTATAAATGGAGGTGGGGTGGGTAGGTGGGAGTTATGTAAACTCATCAGCCAGGAACAGAGTAGGGGTGCAAGAGCAGAGGACTCTTAGCAGGAATAACACTGCTCAAATGCATGATCCTAACTGCTTGGAATTCTCCCATTTAGGAGTCACAGTCTCAGTTAGGTTAAAAGGAATCTCTTGTTTTTCTTATTTAAAGTGTAAATGGTGTATGTATTGGTGGAGAGTGGGATAGGTGGTGAATAATATCATACCAATGGTGCATTGTGGAAGGCTTGGGAAAACACCTGGTCTTGGAGAGGGGCACCTGGAATAGAAGGAAAAGGTATGGAATTGAGTTTTGCCAAAGCCAGGTCCAGTGAGGACAGAAGAACCAAACACAGCTCCTCCAGAGTGATGCTCACTTATTTGGACTTTACCACCAGACTTCTCTCAAAGAGCATAACCCTTAGTATATCCTCCTTTAAGCTCCTTGATGGGGAAGGGAGCTGAAGGAAAGATTTCTTGGGAGTTGGGAAGAACAAAGCTGAGGAAAGAGGTCCCCAACAGGCTGTCAGGCTGGGCTGGAGCCAGACTTCCCCTTCTTCCTAAGTTTCATTCTGTTTCTCCTGAGTTTCTTCATCTTTGTAATTTGGCACCTTTTCTGGACTCGGATGACCCAAAGCCCCACAGCTAGAATTACCAAGAGCAAAAGAAGGAGCAATCCCTTGGCCAGGTGTCAGAAGGAAGATGAGGCCTTCTCGGAAGGAAATCCAGGATCTGGGATGGAAAAGGGGATGGAAAGAAGGACTTGTTAGAGGTAGGGGTCAGGTTAATATTAGGGGACAGACACCTACTCCAAATTCCATGGATGGGGTCTCAAGTTCATGAGTTGCCATCATTTGATGTTATTTTGTGAGTGTCTCTGTAAAAATACATTTTATGCACAGAAGCTGAGGAACTGAGAAGGAGGGACTATCTCAAGATGAGCAAGAAAGGAGATCATTGGAAGTGGGAGCAGAAGGAGAGAGGAAGGTCCCTCCCCGACTCAGATATTAAGCCTCTGTGGGAGGGAGAATGCTCTGGCTTCCGAGTGCTCTCTTGGAGGAGCTCAGGGAGGAAGATGGTGGCTCCTTCCCCCAGAGAATGGCCTTGAGGCACATGTCCTAGTGGTCCAAGGGTTGTCTCTGGTCAACTAGTACCTGCACAGAAAAGTCCAGCATGAATCAGACGGGAACTGGTGTTGCTAATGGGGTTGCTGACCCTGCAGGTATATAAGAGGGCATCATCTCCAGGCCTCCAGGATGTGCTGAGGACAGGGCCTTTATGGGCTATGTCATTGCTGCCCTTCCAGGATATCCAGCTGTAAGTCACGTCTATGCCTACCTTCTCCATAGAGCATGTCATGGACACATTACAGGCATCTTCTCTGGAGATCTCAAAGTTCACAGTGACACGGGGCTCCAACAACCATCCTAGATGGGGGAAGGGCACAAAAACCCCTGTAAACAATCAGGAGTTGATTCTGTTTTCCTAAACTCCTCAATTCTGGGGTCCTGGTCCTACCCCCAAAAAGCTCCTTCACCTACAACAAATACCTAGACACAAGTAAAAACCAGCCACCATACAACCTGAGGCTCCAGAGCCCCCAGGACAGCTGCTGAGGTAGGCAGAGGTGCCTTTGGCAACTTCTACCTTCTCCATTCACCTTCCCTCTCTCTCACCTTTGTACCCTACCTTCCTTCAAACCTCATCCTACCTCTTGGATCCCATAAAATATTATCACTCCTCCTAGGAGCATTTATATTTTAATCAAAATTCAAGGTAGAATACCAGTCACTAAGAAACACTAAGAAGAAATTTGTATTGAAGTAGAGGGGAGAACTGATTACTTGTTAGCCATCATCAAGTTGGCCTGACTCAAGGCAACCTCATGTAGAGTAGGATCAGACTGTTGTTATCGATAGGGTTTTCACTGGATGATTTTCAGAAGTAGATCAGGCCTTTCTTCCTGGTCTATCTTAATCTGGAAACTCCACTAGAACCTGTTCAACATTATAGCAAGGAGATATTGACTAGTACCCTAGTACCCCTCAAATCATACTTGGAGATGAAAGGCTCAAGAATAGAGGTTGTGTTCACATCTAGAATGCAAAAATATCACTGGTAGAGAAGTGAAATGACCAAAGACCTGAGAGAGCAGTTTCCTTCCCTTAGAAGGCACTGCAAATACACCTGGGCCCCTGGAGGATCTATTCATGAAGCTCTGTCCCTCTCCCTGTGCAAGGCACCTGCCTGAGGATGCCTCAGTGCCCCAGGGCTTCGTTACCATAGGTCATGTCAGTTGTTGCTATAGCTCAGACACTGGGGTTTGTTGGTTGAGCTGTCTCTCTCCTAGTCCCAGTCCCAGCTCCTCAAACCACAATCTAGAGTCACGAGACTCCCTAGTCCATAGCATGAGAAGTTAAGAGAGCCAGACAAAGTAGTATTATGGTTCCCAGCATAAACTCATGGTAGATACGTAAATTGTAACACTGTATAGTAGACATCTGGGATGTCCTCAGGTTGACTTGGGCTTGGTAAGGCCCTGCATCCTGCCAGCTCAGATTGGTGATCTGCAGGGAGTAGCTGGGGTCCAGGAAGCTCACTCTGTCCTGGTAGTGTGTGTTGGTCACAGTAATGGTAAAGTTTCCCTCTTTCCCCACCACCACAATTGCAAGCTGTATGCGGGAGGACCAGGTGATGTTCTCAATTTCTTCATCTGATGGTATTTCCAGGGGAAGGATGATGGACTCCTGAAGGGCAGCCACCACTTCCTCAGGATCCACACCATCTCCAGAGTCCCCTTTGGCTGCCAACATAAGAAGAAAAGAGATGCAAACAGTCCAGCAGGTGTCTGGGTTGTTGTGCTAGCCACAGGGCTGTGGTTTCAAGGGAGGAGAAGGTAGTTTTATGGCTTCATCTTGTCCTCCAGCCACCTCTCTTGGCTCTAGCTTTCTGCTGCACCTAAATTAAGCACATACCAGAGGTTGGCTTCCATCTGTGCCCTCGCCTCCCAAATTTCACCTTCTCCTTCTGCCACCCCTTACACATCACCAGAATTCCTCATGTATTGGTCCTGTCCTGAAGCCACACACTACTCCTCATTATTTGAGAGGAGCTGAAACACTTAGCCCCAAAGGAAGGGCCTGGCTGGCCCAGGGCCCAGTAGAACAGGAGGCAGAGGGGAGGGGAGAAATTCATGTACAAGAGTAGGCAGTCTCACTCACCTTCCAGGAGCAGTAAGAGAAGGACCAGCCAAGCAAGGGTCCCCATGTCAGCAGCCTATGTCCAGGAAGTGTGATGTTCCAAGAGCTGTGAAAAGACAACTGTCAGGAAACTATCCACTGACAGTGACTGATTAATAGTCCTGAGGAAAAGGAAATGATTGTCACCCTATTAGCAGTTCTCCAACTTCCTTCCTCCTGGCTAAGCCACTCCTTGTCCATCATGAAGAGAGTTCTCTCTCAGAGCCTGACTGTCAAGATGGTGTTCCAATGACTCTTGTTGCTCTAGTGGTTCAAGCCCACTGAGAGGCACCTCAGAAGAAAGGTCTACTTCTGAAAAATCAACCACTGAAAACCTTATGAAGCACAATTCTACTCTGTTACATATGAGATCTTTATGGGTCAGAATCAACTTGACCACAACGGTTTCATGTTGGCCCTCCACCAAGTCCAGACCAACTCCAGCTTCCTACATGAAGCCTTCCTAGACTCCCTACCTTCTGTATTCCTAGACTCCCATCCACCTACCCACCCCAAACTCTTAGAACACTTTCCACGTAGACTTTTCTTTTGGCTGTCAGCATTCTTTGCCTTAGCTGTCTCTGCAGCCCCTATGTTGCTGTGATCTTTTGCTCTTATAAACATTTTTATCTCCCCAGAGAGATTCCATTCCATCTTTTGTCTCCTCTGTATGTCCTACTCTTGCTAGCCCCCATAATGGACACATGTTAACATTCAACTGATATTTTTGGAATGGATGGATGAATGAAGACTTTCTATTTAAAGCTAGTTATATTCTCACTTGAGAGACTATTCAGAGGGGGAAATTTTTGACTCTATGAAAAAAAAAAGTTTGGATCAGAGAGCTGGCCTAGGTTGTTAATATTATGGAAAGACTTTAAATCATTCAGTGAAAATATGATGTTGATCAAAGCTGTAGGAAATCAGACTCAGAGTGAGTACAGAGGATTAGGTAGGAAAAAACTGTCTGGTGAGCAGAGCTCTCTAGGATGCAACGAGCTGATTTGGGAGGTAGTTTCTGCTTCTGGAATTCAAGCTAAGACTGGACAATCACTTGCTTGGATTTCTGCAACATCTCTGCCATCAGAGAGATAATCAGATTATATAATCTTTAAGCTTTTTCCAATATTTAATATTATAATTCTATGTTGTGATAAGGAAGTAAAAGTGGTCTCTTGAGACCAAGGGTATAATGGGGCAGATACATTCAGTTCTGGCCTCATGCCAATATTTCATACCTTTAAATTGTTGTTGTTGTTGTTGTTATGTGCCGTCGAGTCGGCCCCAACTCATAGCGACCCCTCCTTGGGTTTCCGAGGCAGTATCACTACGGAAGTAGGAATGCCCAACCTTCCTTCCGAGGAGTGGCTGATGGGTTTGAACCGCCAGCCTTCTGGTTAGCAGTCAAGTGCCTTAGGCACTATGCTACCAGAGCTCCTACCTTTAAATTAGCAAACTCAATACTTGACCAAATATTTACTGAGTATCTTCTATGGCTCAGACTCTGTCCTAAGTGCTCAGGAATTAGCAGTGACTGAGATTTAGATCCTGACTTCACGGAGCTCATAGGCTAACAACTAACATTGGACAGATAACTACAAGTTGGATGAGTTTTACTGCAGAGAAGTAGATCAATGGTAGAATCTTCACCTCCCATAGGGGAGATGTGGTTTTGATTCCCGGCCAATGCTCATCATGCACAGCCACTGCCCATCTGTCAGTGGAGGCTTTCATTCAGCCAATGAAAACCCTATGGATCACAATGGGCCAATTTGCAACCAATCATGGGAGTGATGCAGGACTGAGCATGAGCGTTTTGTTCAGCTATGTGTGGGTTCGCCATGAGTCAGGGCCAATTCAGTGGCAGCTGACAGTTTTTGCTAACACACAGGGAGCTATGGAGCAGATTGCCCCTTAGAGGAAGCCACATCGGACAGGAATATCCAGGCCTTCATTCCCTGACTGTGTAGTCATGGCTGGGAGCTGCCCAGGAGAGCATAGACCCTGAGGGGTTACAACTGGGACACCTCCATGGCTGCTACAGTGAGTGTGCTGATTAGCCAAAATGTAACTCTGTTCAGATTTAGTAAACCTGTCTCCATCATAAGCACAAAGAGTACATTGTACTTGTTGAAAGAGAGGAAATAATTCCCACTCCAGTCCTCACTAAACCCTCTTGGTCAAAGGTGGAGAAAATCATCTCCCAGAGCATGATTTTCAAGTCTGATTTTCATTCTGGCTCATGGATTGTGATCCAAATGCAATTTTATTTCTGCCTCTCACCACCCTGTGACCTTATTCTGTAGGACAATCATCCCCTGGCCCTGGCCCTGCCCCAGATGAGAACTCTGGTCAGTCCATGGTTTCTGGACTCAGTTCAGAAATGAGAAAGTCTTGTCCTATGTAATATCCAAAATTCCAAGCTTAGCATAGAATTAAATGATCTCTTTTCCTCCAGCTTGGATCTGCTTCAGGCTGGAATCCTACAGTGGAGTGCTCTCTACCTGCTCTCAGCCTTCCCTCCCCACCTCTGCTTCCCTTGGCAATGCTCCCTTTCAACTCACCTTCCCCATTCATGTCCTTCCTCTCCAGGCTGTGGAAAGTGTGGGGAGGTGGTAAAACTATTCTTACCTGGCTGATCTGTGGGCCTGACAGAAGGTCAAGACGGGTTATTTTTCTCTCAAGGACAGGTTCATGAGTTCTTAAGAGTTCCATTGGTTCTCGCTATCCTGTCCTTGACCTGGAGTAGATGTATGTCTATTCTGGGTAGTCCTTTCAGCTCTTTTCTCAGCCCTTGGACACTTTGCTATATACCTCCAGTCTCCTCCCCTAAGTTCCTCTCATGCCTTCAAACATCCCTAGTGTACAGCACCAGGACAACACAACAGGCTATGCCTCATGAGTGGGCCTCTGCTGCACCTGTAAACATCTTTTGCCTGGGCAGATTCCAAAATGTACATTATCACACCACGCTCCAGTGCCCTAGTGGGAGTCGGGTCTTAGTCCACAGTCTGTTTTAACTTTCCCAGCCTGACTTGGGCACATGTCCCCAGTGACCCCCACCTGCAAGACACACAAATCTCTCCAAGTCTTACCTTCAAGTTCCCTTCAACTGATATATGGCCCGAGGTAACATAGTCTATCCTTTGAGGAAGAAGTGGGGACACACAGCAAAGTAACAGTTATTTCCAAAGCAATCTCTTTCCCAAATCTGCTTCTCTGAACTTCTCCATCCATGGATGAGGGGGTTACAAGAGCAGTGACACAGGTTCTCTTTAATAACACCCACTGTAAATTCTGCAAAGGGAGATCTCTCTCACACCACCGCCTTTGATTTTCTACTATCTGTCACATTGGCATCTCAGAGTAAATAAGGCAGAAAGAGTCCCATTCTAACACCCTACTTACAGCAGACATTTGTGGACAAATGTCAAGTGGACAGTCCTTTGTCCAATTTGATTTCTGTGCCACTGTGGAGGGCTGTATCACAATTGAGTCCCACTTGAAGTTTGCATCCTGAACAGACTCTACTTTTCTGTTTTAGGGCTTATTCAGCAGCAGAAGCACACACAGCCCAAGCACAGATGCAGCCAGGAAGTCCAAGGGGATTGAACAACCCCCAAAGGCAACCACAGACAATAAAGGATAGTCTGTGGGTGAATGTGCCAGCCTCCCTACCCTTCCATGGGACAATTCTGAGACAGTTTCAGAGGCATTGATCCACAGTTGACCACAATTAGTCAGCCATTGTTATTGTTGTTAGCTGCCATCAAGTTCCACCCAACTCATGGTGGCCCCATGCACGATGGGATCAGACTTTTGTGATCTGATTTTCAGAAGTAATCACCAGACCATTGTTCCTAGTCTGTCTTAGTGCAGAAGCTCCACTGAACCCTGTTCAGTTTCACAGCAAAACACAAGCCTCCACTGACAGACGAGTGGTGGCCGTGTGTGAGATGCATTGGCCAGGTATCGAACCAGGTCTCTTGCATGGAACGCAAGGATTCTACCTCTGAACCACCAGTGCCTCACTCAGCAACTGGCAGGCACTTCATTGGCTTTTCTCCTTTTCCTGTCTCATTTCCCCTGTGCTCTCTATTTCCCTTTCTGATCACTTCACAGAAAGATTTCTTTCACCTAAGTTCTTCTCTAAAGGTCTGCTGTAGGGAGATCCTAAACTAAGAAAAAATTATATAAGATAAAGTAGTTGAGTCAATAAAATTTATACTCTCTTCTCTCTTCTGGCTCAATCATTAGGAACAAATAAGTCAATGAGACAACCCCCTGTTCTGCTGATATCACAGCCTTGGGAAAGAAGGACCAGTACAAAACTGGTCCTGCTCTGATGGAGAGAATGGGGGATCACAAAGGACAGAACCTTTCATCAAACTTTCTCCTCAGATTCTCTTTGGGTGTGGAAAGATGGGGACCCACACAACAAAACCACGATCCTGGAGGTACCATTAACAGGTCAGTTCCAAATAAATCACCTTCCTCCCGAGGCAAAGCATATTGAGACCTACACCTGTCTTCTATTTTGGGGATTGCCTGCGCACTTGATATATGGTTTCCTTTTCTTTTTTTCTCTTTTAAGTGTCAGGGTTACAAGAGTGATTATTCAGTTGAACCATGAAGGTGGCTGGAGAGAAGTGAAACAGCAAATTGTTGAAGTGCACCCAAAGGAGTCATTATGCAACAGAGGAGAAAAAAGTGTTCCCAGCAAAGGGACCAACCTGTGCAAGATCCCTGAGGTGGGAGAGAGCAAGCCACACCGAGACACAGGCAGAATCCCCACCAGGTGGGCAGAGAGAGTGAGGTGTAGAATAGCTGAGATGAGGCTGGAAAGGTGGAGTGGAGACAGCTCAATAGGATTTTATGGATCTGTTCAAGAGCTTGTAAGAGTATAAGTTATACTTTTTCAACAAGTATACTTTTGATGAATACCTACTATAGGCAAATGTATAAAGATCAATGTTTAATAGTGGTTATCAGGGGCAAGAGAGCAGCAGAAAGGAGAAGTCATTGTTT